TGGTCACTACTCACTGCAGGTGAAACTAAACCACAGAGTATATAATATATTCTGTGTGAACTAAACGCACTGTGTTCTAAAACGATTTCGTTCATTTCACTCATTCACTGTCTTAAGAGTTAGATACTTGGATACTTGGATGCGTGAGGCATCCCATAAGCAGTTATTAACATTATAATATGCTGTAAGTACAATATTTCGTACATAGATACGTCATACGTAAAATAAATAAGAATGGACCTAGTAAAAACGTTATGATATTGAATAGTATAATATCGACATAAAATCGATTTTTATGAACTTTGTAGCTTCATTCAATGTCAACCTCATTCCTCTTACAAGACGGCAGACACTATTATCTCTTTTAAACCTATATCATTGTTAGAAATACGAAGGAAAAAGGTTAGATCTCTGTTTTGTTTTTAAACTATTTAATGAACAAGTTTATAGTCCAGAATTACTTTCAAGCTTAACCTTTCTGGTTCCTTATCGTCGTAGTAATAGAGAAATACTTTTTACGTACCATTCTAGTCCACAAATTTTACTATATGGTCGAAATATTTTTCTATGAATAGAGGTATGGAATTAGCTTATAATATATTCCATATTGATTTATTTTCATGTATACAACTGTTGATATATGTTTAATGTATATTTCGATAATTTAATTAAAATAGTATGCAAGAAATAACCTAGAACCCGTGATTAAATGTATACTTGTATTTTGTATACATTTTTATTGTAATTAGTTTAATCAATTTGATGTTAATGTATAATATCTAAAAATGTATATTACCTATTTAATGAGAGTGTAATAAGTATAGTAACCACTAAAAATTCAATTTAGAAAATTGTACCATCCGACCATCATCTTATACTATTCAAATTTCATTTTTAATGGGCATCTTGCCCGTCCAAATAAATAAATAAATATATACGAATAATACATTAAACCCTCTTAATATTATATGAAAATTAAATGATATTTGATAATACTGTCCCTGCCCGACTGCGTTTAATAAGTCACGTGTATTTATCTATAATATAATAATATTGCATCGTACATGGACGATTATAATATATTATGTGCCCGTCAAAAGTTTTCTAGCTCGTTTTTCTAGCGGAAAAAGTCGACTATGTGCGTTCGGCCTCGTCCTATAATATAATAAATTGTGAGGTATACACTTAGTATTGTGTACGACTGCAAATACAAGGCTCAGAGTACGGAAATTTACTTGGGGAAACTCGAAGTGGGATTAGACACGACGAGCAGCCGAAGCCCGTGATGTCGTCAGGCTGCTAAGGATTTGTGTCCCGCAGTATTGTAATGCTGCACGTATACATTATATCATACAAAATAATATAATGCATAATATTATATATAGGGTGAAATTCACCGGTGAATGGTGATCAAATATTTTCAACTGCAAACGTTCCGTATTTCAGTGTTCGGATTAGATATTTATTTTTTTATCTAGATAAATAGATAAAGATAATGCAACTCAAATGTATCTAGATGGATATAAAATATAACTTAACTCATATTTATCTAGATAAAGATAAAGATAAATACTTTTTTATCTAGATAAAAAAAAGATACAATTATTTTTTAAGTGGTTTTAAATTTAGGTATATTTGAGTTGGGCACCAAGAACATAATTATAATAATAATAGTATAGATAAAAATAATTACATTATTTATAAACCATATACTTTGTTTGAGAATCTGTATAAATATTTAAAAATGCATTTGTACAACTTCACAATTTTTATGAATAAAAAATGTATCTGAATGAATTTATTTAGATGAAAGTTTAGATACCTTGTAACTATTTATCTAGATAAGATAAAAGATGAACAAATAATTATCTAGGTATTGATCTAGATAAGTCCGAACACTGTCCGTATAATTTCAAAAATAATTTTGAATCACACATTATAATATTATAATATAAAACGGAATACCTACTTATTAGTTATTGATACAAATACGCTCTTACACTTTATTGCCACATTAATCATTTTAATTAAAACACTATTAATACTTCTTGTAATAATTATTATTGTACACCGTTAAAACAATCATACTGTATATTATCATATTTGTGTGCATTGTGCCTATTACATCCCTTTGCCCACCACCACGAGTCGGCGCTAAGTTCGGGTAATCTTCTGTTTTAAGCAAAGTCGATATTATAATATTGTTATACTATATTATATGATATTGATCGGTAGATCGGTTTTAACTTACTTGAGATGGTTAAAAATTAATTAAATTATATAATATTTATATTGTATACATAGAACTATAAATGCAACTTCGCACTCTCCAGTATAACATATAGGTATAATGACTAATGAATATTAAAAATAAATCATAATAATATTTTAATCACAACAAGAGTTGGATTTTTTTTAAACTGGCTATCAGAACTAAAATAACAGTCTCGACTTCACTGCGTCTTAATAATGAACACGATCTAAATTAATGAGTTCTAAACTTTCCATATTTTTATTTTCATTTGATGTGCACAATTTCGGTAGAAGTAAAAGTAACGTTGGTATATAAGTAAACAGTAATAGTAAACTTCATAATTTAAAAATTTTTTGACCTATATAAAATAAAAAAAAAGTGAGAGAGTGTGTGAGCCCTGCACCATTACACTCTGGGGAAGTAAAACTTCTTTCATAAGTAATTGGGCCAGTGAAATTATAAGTGAATTAGGGAGAGAGTTAGAAAAATCAATACAATAAAACAAAAGTGGTTAAGTGGATGTCGCTCTGCTGTACAGTAGGTTACAAGTGGGTTGTTGTATAATGGATTGTATTAAACTTGAATTCAATGATATAATATCATTGTATAAGAAAAATGATTCTGAGCTTAGACGGTTTGTTAGTCTGGATATTTTATATTGTTATTATTTATTATATCATGTAAGTTGAATTAATATTATAATATTATTATTTTTTATTCGTTTCTATGGTGATAAACAAAGCATTAGAAATTAAAATCCCATTTTTAGTGGGTTTTCGTAATTTTTCGGTGGTTTTTCCCTTGTCGTTAAATAACTATTGATAAAATCGAAAATTTACCTCTTTAAAGCACCATCTCGATCAAATTTTCTAAAAGATAAGGTACTATGGGTTGAAATCAAAGCACTCCTTCTGGTAGAAATTTGGTATACAAAATATATATATAAAAAAAAAAATAAACACCATTGTAAAACCAATAGCTTTCTCGCTCCACTCAGAATCTAATATGTAACTTAATATAGACATTTTTGTTTATTAATGGTTGCTATGGACATATATAAATAAATAAACAAACGTGTCATTTCATTTTTCCTGTCGTTTTGTTTTTCGTTACGATTTTTTTCCACCCACTCCTCAAAAAGAAGTTTTACTTAAAAAATATCAGGGAAAGTCGTTCTGTCGTAATGCTGTGTACATAAGCGCTACTAGTGGTGGTGGCGGGGGTAGGGGGCTAAGCCCCCAAAAATAAATTAATCAGTTGTTTCCTAAAAAATCAATAAACCTTTTAAAATTCAACTGCAGTACTTCTGATTTTAGATTCTGAGTGTTAGATTAAAAATGCATTATATTAATTGTAATTTCAATACAGCTGACTTGAATAAAGATACCTCAAAAGCTTTAGATTCTGAGTGTAACGATGAATGTATTGATTTTACAATAGTGTGTTTTTTTTTTTAAATTTTGAAATATTTGTGTCTGTGTACACGATAAGTAGTCGAAATAATGCTTCGATTTTCCACTTCAATATCTTGTTTGATGGGAAAGTGAATATTGTTGATGCATTTGGGAGGCCACAAGTTACTTTTCATGTAATATCATGTGGGGGCCCCACCACCTAAAATTTTAGCTCTAAATTCGCTACTGACTGTGTATAGTATAGGTTTCGAGTATAACAAGGGCCAGATTGGGCAAATTCGGATCACCAAGTTTTCTGTACTTCACCAGCACACTTACAAACTGGCCGCCCTCGGGTACGTTCTTATTTCGTCCATAGTTTTTTTTATTTTATAGTTTCCATTTCTTCGAATTTTAACTCTTAACATATTTTTAGTCAGTGCGGCCCCTCATGACTTGAACGGCCCAAAATGTTCGTGGTCCGCCGAGTTTTACCCTGTAACTCGCAGGGCTAATCCGGCCCTGAGTTCCCCTGGCATCATGGCATCATTGCAAGTATATAGTTCATTATGTAATGGATATCGTGTTAAATATTTAATTTCAATGATAAATCATTGCAAACCATTATTCATAGAGACGGTTTATCCACCTCTATTTCTAAGAATATTTTATAATTTATTTATGATGTCAATAACGCAGCACTTAATACATTAATTACAGATGTGAATTTTAGAGGAACACAGAAATGTAGATTCACTTATTTCGAATAATATAGCTTACTGCAGTGGCGTAGCCAGGAATTACCCGAGTGGGGGGGGGGTTAATGACTTTTATTTTTGCTCAACTCTAAAATATATTGTTCAGGAGTGGTAAAACTAAATGCGCTAAAATGTACCGAGTTATACTCTTATATACGCTTATTTAGTAATACATTTTTTTTTTATTAACTGAAGGTGAATAATAATTATATTTATTTATGTTAATATTAAACACGCAGTACATACTTATTGACTTATTATTATAAACAAGTAAAAATAGAAAAAAATTTAAATTGTAATATTTATATTAAAGTTAATATATTTTTTCACATTATAAATTACAAGCTATAGCAATCTTATTTTTCTTGAGTCTTTTGCAAAGTCATTAAGAACTTCATCTGTTGTTAAAATAATTTCACGATGAATATTTAGTAGTGCTAAATAGTTTAATTTAATCTGTTTTCTCCAATAGTATTTCTAAGGTATGTCTTAAGTCTTTTTAATGTAGAAAATGACCTTTCACTGCTTGCTGTAGTTACGGGAAGTGTAGCTATTATTTGGAGAAGTTTATAAGTAGATGGAAAAATGAGTGGGTTACATGCTATAAGAGGTTCTAATGCATTTTTTGGTTTTTCTGTTCCAACAAATTTTTGTGTCCATGTCAATAGGTACTTCTCCAATTACTGAATCTGAACTACATTGAAGATCTTCACTATACTTTTCTGCCAAACTTTTTATGTTTTCTTCTCTATTTGGCAAATTATTGTTTGGTAAGAGACAGCAAAAATTGGTAATTAGAGATTTTTGTGCAATGAACCTATCATGAAGTTGACTAATAAAATTATCTAAAAATGGAATAAACAATGATATTTTATAGTATTCATTTGGACAAGGAGTTTTTACATTAAACCGATTTTTTTGTATGTTTGTTAAACGAGGTAAAGTTATTTCAATATCAAGTGACATACATTTTTCTTTCACTTTTAAAAATAGTTTTTTAAAATCCTCATCTGCATTATTTCTGATATTTTTTAACACATCAGATACATTATCTGCCAGAGACATGGCTTCAATCAAATCAATATTTTGCATTTGAAGAAGTTTACTAAGAGGTAAACTTATGCTAAATACTTTTGCTAGCAGATGTGTTGCCAAAATAAATTCAGGTTGCTTAATAGCACACAAAAGTTGATAAGCTCCTGATGACGATTCTCTGTCTGGCCATGAAGAAATAATTGATAATCCATCAATAACTGCATCAAATAATTCCATAAAAGTAATTATGGAGACAGACCAACAAACCACACTTGACACTATGACAGTAGAATATAATCAAGACTCAGTCTCTCAGCAGCACGATAGTATATGGTATAAAAGAATAATTGATAAAAGTATAAATAGAACAATATTACCCGTCGCTGTCGTCGGGTCATACATACACGCCATAGACATATACATATGTTTATATAATTCTGAGTAGATGTGGGATCGTTCGGTCGTCGGTGCGATAAGCACGCGACGATCACCGAATAGCGTCCCACAGCCGTACATAGAAAATACTAAAATAATATTAAATAATAATAAAAATAAAAGTATTAAAATCATACAATAAAAACATTTTTTTTTAAGGCCAAGGCGGGGTTTAAACCCCTAAAACCACCCCCTGGCTACGCCACTGGCTTACTGAATGACATTATACAGTATTAGGAACATTTATTATATAAATTTAAGATAATAAGTTTTTATATGAGTCGATTTTCGATATTTTATTTTCAATGGCCAATATTTAGTTCTAAAACTTGTAGTATTTTACTTTTTGAATTTGAATTATTGAATTTAGTAATTAAAATATCGAAAATGAACTTTAAACAGGCACACATTAACTTCTCTTCTACAATATTGATATTAGGTATTTTTACTCTAAAACAACTCAATAAACCATATTATTATTGGAAATACATTATTTTCATAGCATTTTCCCATACTATGGATACCCCTAAATATAATATAAAATTATTTATTTAATCGGTAAATTACTTATTACTATAAAAAAATGATTACTACATTTTCCATAATATACATATTATTAAAGAATAATTTTAATATTTTATATCATATAATATAATAATTTTTATCATAAGTAGTTTATACTGTAACCTAAAAGTATTTTTCATGGGTAAATAATTGAAACTTTAGAATATTTATTATCATACTTTATACACACAATCACATTTTTAGATTGAAAGTTTTAGAAAAAAATAATTCAACCTATTGGCTACCGTATCATTAATAGGTAATAAGTAATGGTATAAAATAAATTACTTTAATATCAACTATATCATATAAAATATACTCAGTAGGTAGCTAATTATAGGCCTACAGATAGTCTATTAAAAGAATCGTTTTTCGTAGGTATGCAATGATTTTATTATTGACAATTCCAATTTTTCCGATTTTTTTGAAAAGTTTTTACAATATTGACACCTTAAAATACAATTTAGATCCGCTATGGTCTACCAGTACTTCCCTTAATATTGAATATTGAAATACTGTTGTTATAGCATAATATTTAAACATTTTTTAGTTGTTTCATATTCACACGCATCATTGTAATACAGTATAATAATTCTTGTTGAATTTTTTCTGCTCAGAATCTAAAACGTAGACAATACAAATAAGGGTTCCCTAAATTACGTTTTATACCTACATAATATTATCACTACATCCTTTTCGCCAACCTTATCCGAAATACCAATATTCTTTGTAACACACACACACACACACACACACACACGCACGCGCGCTCAAACACAAACAAAACACGTATACAACACATATAATATAATATCATAGTATATATATATAGGCATGGTATCTGGTATACACAGGTGTATGGCCGCCACTGCAGAGTACACACAACGGGCACGCGTTAGGTATATTGCGGTCAAAAAGTGATGACCTCGTTAAAAGACGGGCGAGAGAGGGCGAGAAAAAAAAAAAAGTAGCTCCGGCGGCGTAAATTATAAATAAATCGAGTTTTCGTATGCCGGTCGCGGCCGTTGCTGCTCAGGTCGTATGAGGTCGGGGGGGTCGGAGTCAGTCGGTATATATATATATATATCATGCAAAATTCATCTGAGCTTTTTGTGGTGTATAATCCAAAGGAATGTGTGCGAGCGTGTGTGTCTGCAGCCTGCGAATGAGCGAGCAAACACTACAGCGACTGCAGCTAACGGAAGAAATATACGAGTATGATGGGAATTTTTTAGCGAGCTTGGGTGGGACGACGGACCGGGTTCTTTTATTTTATTATTTTTTTTTTATCTGGATTTTCGTCTTTCAGAAATTGAACAAGACACGACGTTTCCCACACATACACACACACACGCGCTCGTGCACCTACAACACGTGTAAAATATGTATGCACGCGTTCCGTTGCAGATCAAACGACTGCTTCTGCTGCAATGAATAATATTATGTACCTACATCATAATATGCGACGACAAGTGAGTCGCGTTAATAATAATAATTAATAACGATGGTTAAAAACGGGCAAACGGTTTAAAACAGTGTATACGAAAAATAACAGTAATAAGACTTCCCTACAACATGATTTGGATCTGTTCGCTTGTTGGTGACCATTGAATATGTGGAATGGCTTTGAATACCTCTAAACGCGTTTGCATTTCATTTCACCGTTCTAAATCTCATATAAATTGTCAATATTTTATTAATGGAACGGCTCTCAACTCTGCCAGTCAAGTTCGGGATCTCGGTATTATCCTATCAGCCGATTTGTCCTTTAATGCCCATTTTAATTCGATTTATGGGAAAAGTCTTCGTGTTTTAAGGTTCATTAAACGCACCTGGTCCAATACACTTTGTATGAAAGTTTTGCATTGTTCGCCGGGAAGATCTTTACTTGAATATGGATCGGTTTTGTGGTACACTGATCAATCTGGTTTAGTTAACAAATTAGAAATAATACAAAAAATTTGTTTACGTTTTTATGCTTTTAAAACTAATATTACCCATATAATCATACTGTTGAATTTGCGAACTCTATAGGTATGCAGTCACTTAAAACAAGAATATTAGTATATGTTATCACGTTTATGTATAAAATCTTGAATGGTGTTATCGATTGCCCAGAATTATTACAAAAAATTGGCGTTAAAGTACTCTCTTTTAATTCAAGATTCAACCCTTCTTTTTCTATTCCTCATTCGAAAAATAATTACTTTACTAATAGTCCGGTGTTCCGCCTACCAACATCATGCAATTTAATTTATAATTTTGATTTTTTTGTCGACTCCTGTACTAAGATAAAATCTTGTGTTTAAGTTTAAATCTAGATGTTTAATTTGATTTAATTGTATTCAACTGTTAATTTAGCGATATTTTTAATTTAAACTTATACTCTACTTTTACCCTTTGGGGTGTTAAATATTTATTATTATTAAATAAATATTATTATTATTATTAATATTATACTATGCATCCGAATTCCGAGTAGAGACGTATGTACGTGTATTGCGTGTATTCCAAGAAACGGGTGAAATTTTTTTTCGTTTAGAAAATTTCGACGACTGCGGTCGTGATGTTGATGATTTCGGTAACGTTATAATAATATTATTATATTATGTACACGACGTCAGACGGATCGCACTTTCTCAAATGCACTCCTCACGGGCGAACGTAAGTACCTATATATGTTAGAAGTATAATAAATATACATTTAACGGCAAACTTCGCGATATATTATATATTATATATAATGTAATCATATAATAAATCCAATAGAGTAATACGTCACAGATCCATTAATCTGCAGACGTCTTTTGATGTATAAATCGATTACGATTTGTAAGGTACAAAAATTATTATGAACAACGAGTGAAAGTCAATATAACTTTCTTGTGAGTGTAATATTCGAATGTGTACGTTACTACGATTCGACTCGTATCTACTACACTGCATTTTATTAGTTTCTTCACAACCTATTATTATCGTCTATGTTCGTTATTTTTATTCGGACCGGAAGTATAATACGTGTGTATACGTTTTTCTTATTCAAACAGTTTAATTGTATAATATTTATATATTTTTTTTTTTTTTTTTTTTTATTTATTTAAGTAATTTACAATCTATACAACATTATGTACAATGGGCAAATTTGATAGTTAATAATGTGAAATAACAGAGTTTAACATTTAAGGGCAGGCACTCAGCAGCACCACCCGACCGAGAACATAATGATGTCGTGGTTTTTTTTTTTTTTTTTTTTTTCATTTTATTTTAGTAGGTCTCTAGGCCACTGTCTTTTGAGTCTTCTGCACACATTGCCAGGAAGTGAGGTGGAAGAAAGTTGCTTTATTAATGGATTACTGTGAGAGTTTAAGTTGGAGTGAAATTTAGAGTAATGAGCTTTTGCTAATTGATTAAGTGTAGGAATTTTTAGGTCTTTGTGAAGATTGTTGTTTGTGAAATACCAAGGAGAAGATGTTATTAATCGTAGGCAGATAGATTGAAAAGCTTGAAGCGTGTTGGTGTTAGAGGGCTTTGCAGAGCCCCATAACTGGATACCATATGTCCAAGCTGGTCGAATTATTGATTTGTATATAGTAAGTTTATTGGAAAGGGAAAGTTTGGATTTTAAGAGTGGTCTAAGGATATGAAGTCTAGAGTTAACAGTTTTTCGTTTAAGTTTAATGTGTGGGCTCCAGGTTAAGCGTTTGTCGAGAGTTAGCCCAAGGTATTTAACTTCGTTTGCCTTAGGAATTGTTATATTATTTAACGTGACAGGTGGAGAATCGAGATTACGTAGTGAAAAAGTTACTTGAACAGATTTAGTTTCGTTAATTTTGATTTTCCATCTGTTTGCCCACAAGCTGATCATATTTAAATGGTTTTGGATCATTTCACTGGCTGTGACGTGGCTTTCGTGGGAGGCGGTTATTAGCGTGTCATCAGCGTATGTGCCTATAGATGTATAAAATGTCTGGGGTATGTCATGAGTGAAAATCGAGTAAAGGAAAGGAGCGATGTCGCTTCCTTGTGGGACTCCAGCTCTAATAGTGTAACGGGTTGAGTAGGTGTAGTTTAGGCGAACAGTAAAGAAACGATTTGACAGATATGATTTTATCAAGAGGAAAAGAGGGGCGGGTAGGAACTTTTTAAGTTTGTACATTAGTCCGTCATGCCAAACCCGGTCAAAGGCTTGGGAGATGTCAAGGAATACTGCTGTGCAGAACTGTTTTTTTTCTAGGGAG